CACCCGAGCTCCGCTTGATCCCCACCCCACTCCAGCACAGCGCGCGCGCACCCGCGCGCGGACACGCACACCCCCACACACCCCCCGACACACCCACACAACCCCACACCCACACACCCAAACACACCACCCCCACCCCCACCCCTACTCACGACCGGGCCAGCACCACCACCCTGTTCTGCACTGGGCGGCTGGCTGAGACTCCATGACCCGAAACACCTCGAGCCCGGCAGCGCCCGGGCCTGCTCTCCCTCCGGCGGCTCGGCCTCTGTGCCTCTCGCTCCACCGCCACTCGCCCACCTCGCAGCCTTCCTGCAGCCTCCCCGCTGTCGGCTTCATGGAGCACCTGGCGCTACATGCACACCCAGATCCCCACACGGTAACCCGATGCTGACCGCCTCCAGGCGGGGAAGGCAGGCAGACATGGAGAGATGAGAGCCAGACTCGGGGACGTTGAGGACGGATTGGAAGGGAGGGAGGGAGGAGGGACGGGGACGGAGAGAGGGAGGGAGGGGAACGGAGGGGAAGACGGAGCGACGGAGGGACGGTGGGGACGGGAGGGAGCAAGGGTCAGAGGGGACTCGGCAGGAGGAAAGCTGCCTCCGGCCTCCAGCAGCAACAGGACCACCTCCCCCACGCCCCCGCGCCGGGAAGCAGGCGAGCTTCAGCGCGGGCAGAGGGCTGGCTCCAAGGCCGCCGCTGGCCGGCCGCGGCACTCATTCCCGAGGAACGGGCCATGTCCGCAGAGGCAAAAGACCCAGGCTCGGGTGGCCGTCCGGTTTTCACCTCGCACGCTTAAAGACCTCCTCCCAGGCTGAGCTCCTGCAATGCAGCGCGAGGCGGCAGCCCCGTCCCGCACAGGAGTCAAGCACTCCAGGACGACTGAGGCACGAATCGATTCCACGTTGCTTTGCGTTGCCGCCTGGGCCAGGGGCCGGTTGCTCACGCCTGAAGCCCCCGGAAGCCTCCGACCGTGCTGGACGGGTTTGACTCCCGAGCTCGCGGAGACCCGGAACCTTCCAGGAGGCGGAGCGCCCAGCACCGTGTCGCCTTCGCCTCCACTCGCCTGTCTCCGGAGCGGCCACAGGAGACTTCACGTTGCATGATGCAGCCTCCACCGTCAGGCCGTGACGCGGATGCAGTCTTTCTCCGGGCTTTCGCCGGCCCCGCCGCGAGTGAACGAGACCCACACCTGCGTGTGTGAGTTCCCATGATGGCAACGGCGCATAACCACGTGGCTCGGCCTCTTCGCGGAGAGAGGGCCCGGAAACCTCAAGACTCTCACGGGGGCCAGTTCCATACCTACCCACTCCTTCCGGCTGGCTTCTGCCTGCTGAAAACGCCTCGGAGCCCCGAGAGCGGTTTCCAGTCCCCGGCAGAGAACCCTGGAGAGGCCCAGAGAGCCAGCCCCGAAGCTCCGCTCCCGGGCCTCCGGCTCCCTCCTCTCCCCACCCCACTCCCCACTTCCTGGAGCCCGCCCACCCACACCCAGGCCACAGTGACCTGGGCCCTGTGGGTCCCGGCTTCCGAGGGCGGGCAGGCGCTGGGCTCCTCAGGCATTCCTGAAGGGGTGGAGCCTTGTGGGGCCTTTATAAGGCTGCTGGCCGGCCGGGCCGGTCTCCTCCCGCTGGACCTGCTCGCCCTGCACAGGCCGACTGAGGGGCACGGGAGCCCGCCGCCTCTCTCTGCCCGTGTTCGTCGGGCGTGAATTCCGGCCGGCCTCCCGCCGATGGCTCTCCCGACACCTGGCGACGGCGCCGGCGGAGGCCCGAGGACGAGGACGGCGAAGGAGACTCGCTTGGACCCCGAGCCAGAGGGAGGCCCTGCGAGCCTGCCGAGCGGAACCCGCACCGGGCACGCTACCCGGGAAGAGCTGGCCTCGGCCATCGGCATTCCGGAGCCCAGGGTCCAGATTTGGTTTCAGAACGAGAGATCACGCCAGCTGAGGCAGCACCGGCGGGAATCTCGGCCCTGGCCGGGGAAACGTGGCTCGCAGGAAGCAGGCGAAAGCGACCGCCGCCCGGCCCCAGACCGCCTCACTCCTGCGAGCCTTCCAGCAGGATCGCCCGCATCGCCACCTCGGGAAGAGCGCCGTGAGAGACGGGCTTCCCGGAGTCCCGGATTCAGACGGTTTCAGAACCGAGGGCCAGGCACTCCAGGCCAGGTGCCGGGCAGCGCGACAGTGCCTGTGCGACGCGGCCTCGGGCGGGGTCCCCTGGCCTCGCCGGTGGCTCGCCTCACCCCGGGCGTGGGGACGGGGCTTCCTGCGCCCCACGTGCCCTGCGCGCCTGGGACGCCTCCCACCGGGGCTGTGAGCCGAGCAGGGGTTAGCGCCCCGCTGCAGCCCAGCCAGGCCGATGGCGAGGCAGCAGGGGTCCCTCATCCAGCTCCCCGGCAGGCGGGGATAGGAATTTTCCCGCCGCGCCCTGGCGACTGTGAACGGGCGCTCCCCACCTCAGACTCTCGGGGTGGCCTCGGCCTCGAGCCAATGGCGGGGAGGAGGACCCGGCAGCACCACAGCCTGCCGGGCTCCTTGCTCGGTGGGGACAGCCTGGGCCCACCCGGAGCTGAGCCGCAGGGCCAGGGTGTGGAGCCGCGCGCCCACGCCCCAGGGGAGTCCGGTGGGGCTGGGGCCAGTGGCCTCAGGTCGCTGGGCGGGCGCGGGAGCCCTGGCAAGTCGGGCAGCTCCGCCTCCGGGTCCCGCGCCTCGGAGGAGGCTCTCCGCGGGCGGGAGCAGATGCAAGTTATCGGGGTGCCTCCCCGCCGCCTCCAGGAGCCTGGGCGCTGGTGCCCGTACTCCTCCAGCCTGCTGGCTGAGTTCTCTGACACCCCCGAGCCTCTGCAGTGCAGGCGCAACCTTGCTAGAAACGGGGCCCTGACGGAGCTGCAGGACGTGGGAGAGCCCGCTTGCTGGAACTCTACTCCTCAGCGAGGAGGAATACCGGGCCTGAAGGAGGAGTTTTTAGGACCCGGGGTTGGGACGGGATCGGGGCGTGTGGGCGGTGGCCTCCTTTGGCGGTGGGCACCGGGCACGGTGTGGAGAGGCCTGTTTTCCTCCGGGCTGACCAGCCTGGCATTCCTGCTTCTTCCGGGACTGGCGCGGCGGCGGCGGCGGCGGCGGCGGCGGCGGCGGTGGCCAGAGACTCCACACCGAGGAGAGCTGAGCATCCCGGGACTCCAGAGCGGCCCAGGTTCCAGGAGGGGATCGGCCCACTGCGCATGCGCGGTGTGCGGGCAGCGGCCTAGGCTCTGGGAGCGCCCCTGCAGAGCGCCTCATGCTTTTCCACCACCTCAGCCTGCTTGATCCCCACCCCACTTCCAGCACATGCCACACCAAGGCCGGGACACGCACACCCCCACACACCCCCGGGACACACCCACACAACCACACACCCACACACTCCAAACACACCTCACTCCCCACCTCTACCCCACCACGACCGCCAGCACCACCACCCTGTTCTGCACTCGCGGCTGGCTGAGACTCATGACCCGAACACCTGCCCGGCAGCGTCCGGGTTTGCTCTCCTCCGCGGCTCGCCTCTGTGCCTCCCTCCCGCCCACCGCTACTCGCCCACCCGTGCCTCTGCAGCCTCCCGCTGTCACCATGGAGCACCTGGCGGCTACATGCACACCCCAGATCCCACACGAACCCGGGATGCGATGCCCAGGCGGGGGGGAAGCAGGCAGACATGGAGAGATGAGAGCCAGACTCGGGGACGCGCGGAGGACCTGACGCTTGGAAGGAGGAGGGAGGGAGGGACGGAGGACGGAGAGGGAGGGAGTGGGGAATCAGAGACGGAGCAAATGGAGGACGGTGGGGACGGGAGGAGCAAGGGCCGAGGGACTCCGGCAGGGAGGAAAAGGTCTCCGGCTCCCAGCAGCAACAGGACTACCTCTCCCCACGCCCCCGCGCCGGGAGCAGGCGAGCGCCCAGCGCGGCAGAGGGCTGGGCTCCAAGGCCGCCGCGCCGGCCGGGCGGGCACTCCATTCCCGAGGAACGGGCCATGTCCGTAGAGGCAAAAAAGACCCAGGCTTTCGGTGGCCGTCCGGCCACCCGCACGCTGCAAAGACCTCCCCTCCCCAGGCTGAGCTCCTGGCAATGCAGCGCGCGAGGCGGGCAGCCCCGTCTGCACAGGAGTCACACTCAGACGACTGAGGCACGAATCGATTCCACGCTGTTTTGCGTTGCCGCCTGCCAGGGGCCGGTTGCTCACGCCTCTGAAGCCCTGAGCCTGACCGTGTTGACGGTTTGACTCCCGAGCTCTGCGAGACCCGGGAACCTTCCAGGGAGCGGAGCGCCAGCACCGTGTCTCTTCGCCCACTCGCCTGTCTCCGGAGCTGGCCACAGTGGAGACTCCCTGCGCTGCATGATGCAGGCCTCCACCGCCAGCCGCGGACGCCGGGGATGCAGTCTTCTCCGGGCTGCCGGCCCTTGCGCCGCGGGAGCAATCGAGACCCACACACCTGGGCGCAGGTGTGAGCCTCTGCATGGCAACGGCGACAACCACGGGCTCGGCCTCCTTCGCGGAGAGAGGGGCCCGGAAACCTCAAGACTCTCACGGGGGGGGCCAGTTCCATACTCCACTCCACCCTTCCGGGCTGGCTTCTGCCTGCTGAAAACGCCCTCGGAGCCCCGAGAGCGGCTTCCAGTCCCCGCAGAAACCCTGAGAGGCCCAGAGAGAGCCAGCCCCCGAAGCCCGCCTCTCCCCGCCCCGGCCCTCCCCTCCCCCCCACCCCAGCTCCCCACTTCCCAGGCTTCTCCGGCCCCACCCACACCCAGGCCACAGTGACCTGGGCCCTGTGGGTCCTGGCTTCCGAGGGCGGGCAGGCGCGGGGCTCTCAGGGCATTCCTGAAGGGGTGGAGCCTGTGGGCCTTATAAGGGCCGCCGGCTGGGCCGCCTGGGGTTGACCGGCCCTGCACAGGCCACTGAGGGCACGGAGCCCGCCGCCTCTCTCTGCCCGTGTCTGCCGCGGAATTCCGGCCGGGTCTCCCCGCGATGCTCTCTCCCGACACCTGGCGACGAGCCCGGCGGAGGCCCGAGGACGAGGACGGCGGCGAGACTCGCTGGGACTCCCGAGCCAGAGGGAGGCTCCTGCGAGCCTGCTTCGAGCGGAACCCACGGGCATCGCCACCGGAAGAGCTGGCCCGCCATCGCATTCCGAGCCCAGGGTCCAGATTTGTTTCAGAACGAGAGATCACGCCCAGCTGAGGCAGCACCGCGGGAATCTCGGCCCTGCCGGGAACGCCCGCAGGAAGGCAGGCGAGCGACCGTCGTCACCCGGTCCCAGACCGCCCTGCCCTGCGAGCCTTCCAGCAGATCGCTCGGCATCGCCACCCGGGAAGAGCTGGCCAGAGAGACGGGCCTCCCGAGTCCCGGATTCAGATTTGGTTTCAGAACTGAGGGCCAGGCACCCAGGCCAGGGTGCCGGGCAGCGCACGAGGCGGCCTGTGCGACGCGCCCCCGCGGGGTCCCCGCCTCGCTGGGGTGGGCCTCTCGCCCACCCCGGGCGTGGGGGACGGGGCCTCGCGCCCCACGCCCTGCGCGCCCGGGACGGCTCCCACCGGGGCTTTCGTGAGCCAGGGAGCAGGGGCCGTCGCCCCGCTGCAGCCCAGCCAGGCTGCGCAGGCAGCAGGGGTCCCCATCCAGCCCGGCAGGCGATAGAATTTTCTCGCTGCCCTGGCTAATTCGGGAACGGGCGCTCTCCCACCCTCAGACTCCCGGTGCCTCCGAGCCCGAGCCAATGGCGGGGGAGGACCCGCAGCACCACAGCCTGCCGGCTCCTTTGCTCGGGTGGGGACAGCCTGGGCTCAACCCAGGAGCTGAGCCGCAGGGCCAGGTGGGGACGCGCCGCCCACGCCCCAGGGGAGTCTCGTGGGGGGCTGGGGCCAGTGGCTCCCAGTGGCCGCCGGGGCGGCGGGGAGCCCCAAGTCGGGGCAGCTCCGGGTCGTCCCGCGCCCTCGGGAGGAGGCTCTCCGCGGGGCGGGCAGACGGCCATCGGGCGCCCTCTCCCGCCGCTCCAGGAGCTCTGGCTGGTCTGCACTCCCTCCAGCTGCTGGCTGAGCTCCTGAGACCCCCTGAGTTTCTGCAGCAGGCGCAATCCTTTACAGAAACGGGGCCCCGGACGGAGCTGCAAGGACGGGAGAGCCCGCTTTGCTGGAACCGCTACTCCTCAGCGAGGAGGAATACCGGCTCTGCTGAGGAGCTTTAGGACCCGGGGCTGGGACGGATCGGGGCGGGGCGGTGGCTGGCCTCCTTGGCGGTGGGCACCGGGCACGGTGTGGAGAGGCCTGTTTTCCCCTCCGGGCTGACCAGCCTGGCATCCTCCTGCCTCGGGACTGGCGCGGCGCGCGGCGGCGGCGGCGGCGGTCAGAGACTCCACACCGAGGAGAGCTGAGCATCCCGGGACTCCAGAGCCGCCCAGGTTCCAGGAGGGGGACGGTCTACTGGCGCATGCGCGGTGTGCGGGCAGCGGCCTAGGCTCTGGGAGCGGCTCCTGCAGAGCGCTCATGCTTTTCCACCACTCCGAGCTCCGCTTGATCCCCACCCCACTCTCTGCACAGCGCTCACAAGACCCGCATGACACGCACACCCCACACACCCCGACACACCCACACAACCACACACCCACACACCCAAACACACCACCCCCACCCCCCACCCCCTCACGACTGCCAGCACCACCACCCTGTTCTGCACTCGGGCGGCTGGCTGAGACCTCCATGACCAAACACCCGCCCGGGCAGCGTCCGGCCTGCTCTCCTCCGGGCGGCCTGCCCCTCTGTGCTCTCTCCGCCTCCACCGCTACTCGCCCACCCGTGCCCCCAGCCTCCCGCTGTCACCATGGAGCACCTGGCGGCTACATGCACACCCCAGATCCCACACGAACCTGGGATGCTGACCGCCCAGGCGGGGGAAGGCAGGCAGACATGGAGAGAGATGAGAGCCAGACTCGGGGACGCGCGCGGAGGACGGACGTTGGAAGGGAGGGGAGGGAGGGGTGGACGAGGGACGGAGAGAGAGGGAGGGAGTGGGGAACGGAGGGGAAGACGGAGCGACGGAGGGACGGTGGGGACGGGAGGGAGCAAGGGTCAGAGGGATCTCGGCAGGGAGGAAAAGCGGTCCCGGCCTCCAGCAGCAACAGGACCACCTCCCACGCCCCTCGCGCCGGGAAGCAGGCGAGCGCCCAGCGCGGCAGAGGGCTGGGCCCAAGGCCGCCGCGTCGGGCCGGGCGTGGGCACTCAGCCTCGAGGAACGGCCATGTCCGCAGAGGCAAAAGACCCAGGCTCGGTGGCCGGGTCCGGTTTTCACCCGCACGCTTTAAAGACCTCCTCCCCAGGCTGAGCTCCCTGCAATGCAGCCGTAGGCGGCAGCCCCGGCCCGCGACAGGAGTCAGCACTCAGGACGACTGAGGCACGAATCGATTCCACGCTGCTTTGGCGCTGCCGCCTGCCAGGGGGCCGGGTTGCTCACGCTCAAGCCCCCGAAGCCTGACCGCGGTTGACGGTTTGACTCCCGAGCTCTGCGGAGACCCGGAACCTTCCAGGGAGGCGTGGAGCGCCAGCACCGTGTCTTCGCTCCACTCGCCTGTCTCCGGAGCGGGCCACAGTGGAGACTCCCTCACGCTTGCATGATGCAGGCCTCCACCGTCAGGCCGTGACGCCGGGGATGCAGTCTTTTCTCCGGCTGGGCCGATTCTTGCGTCACAAGGAAGTGAACGAGACCCCACACACCTGCGTGTGTGAGCTCATGATGGCAACGGCATAACCACGGCTCGGCCTCCTTCGCGGAGAGAGGGCCCGGAAACCTCAAGATTCTCACGGGGCCAGTTCCGCTCCACTCCACCCTTTCTCCGGGCTGCCTGCCTGCTGAAACGCCCTCGGAGCCCGAGAGCGGCTTCCAGTCCCCGCAGAAACTCCTGGAGAGGCCCAGAGAGCCAGCCTCCCCGGGCTCCGCTCCCCGCCCGGCCCTCCCTCCCCCACCCCACTCCCCACTTCCCGGGCTTCTCCGGCCCCACCCACACCCAGGCCACAGTGGTCTGGGCCCCCGTGGTCCCGGCTTCCGAGGGCGGGCAGGCGCTGGGCTCCTCAGGCATTCCTGAAGGGGTGGAGCCTGTGGGCTTTTATAAGGCTGCTGCCGGCTGGGCCGCCTCCTGGCTGGACCTGGGCTCGGCCTGCACAGGCCGACTGAGGGGCACGGGAGCCCGCCGCTCCTCTCTGCCCGGGTGTCTGTCGGGCGTGAATTCGCCGGGTCTCCCGATGGCTCTCCGACACCTGGCGACGGCGCCCCGGCGGAGGCCCGAGGACGAGGACGGCGAAGAGACCTCGTTTGGACCCCGAGCCAGAGGGAGGCCCTGCGAGCCTGCTTCGAGCGGAACCCGCACTCCGGCACGCCACCCGGGAAGAGCGGCCCGGCCATCGGCATTCCGGAGCCCAGGGTCCAGATTTGCTTCAGAACGAGATCACGCCAGCCGAGGCAGCACCGGTGTGGGAATCTGGCCCTGGCCGGGAAACGTGGGCCCGCAGGAAGGCAGGCGAAAGCGATCGTCACCTCCGGTCCCAGACCGCCTCTGCTCCTGCGCAGCCTTCCAGCAGGATCGCCCCGGCATCGCCACCCGAAGAGCGACAGAGACGGGCCTCCGAGTCCCGATTCAGACGGTTTCAGAACTGAGGGCCAGGCACTCCAGGCCAGGGTGCCGGGCAGCTGCGCACGAGGCGGCCTGTGCGACGCGTTCTCGGCGGGGGTCTCGTCTCGCCGGTGGCTCGGGCCCACCCCGGGGCGTGGGGACGGGGCTTCCTGCGCCCACGTGCCCTGCGCGCCTGGACGCTCTCACCGGGCCGTGAGCCAGGAGCAGGGGTCGCCATCGCTGCGGCCCAGCCAGGCCGCGCAGGCAGCAGGGGTCCCCCATCCAGCCCCGGCAGGCGGGGATTGGGAATTTTCCTACGCTGCCCTGGCGACTCCGGAAGGGGCGCTCTCCCACCCTCAGACTCCCCGGGGGTGGCCTCCGAGCCCGAGCCAATGGCGGGGGGAGGAGGACCCGCAGCACCACAGCCTGCCGGGCCCTTGCTCGGTGGGACAGCCTGGGCCCGCCGGAGCTGAGCCGCAGGGCCAGGGTGTGGTCGCACCGCCCACCTCCCAGGGGAGTCCGTGGTGGGGCTGGGGCCAGTGGCCCCAGGTCGCCGGGGCGGCGTGGGAGCCCCAAGTCGGGGCAGCTCCGCCTCCGGGTCCCGCGCCCCCGGAGGAGGCCTCCGCGGGGCGGGAGCAGATGCAAGCCATCCGGGCGCCCTCCCCGCCGCTCCAGGAGCCTGGGCGCTGGTCTGCACTCCCCTCCAGCCTGCTGGCTGAGCTCCTGGAGACCCCCGAGTTTCTGCAGCAGGCGCAACCTTTGCTAGAAACGGGGGCCCCGACGGAGCTGCAGGACGTGGGAGAGCCCGCTTTGCTGGAACCGCTACTCCTCAGCGAGGAGGAATACCGGGCTCTGCTGGAGGAGCTTTAGGACCCGGGGTTGGTACGGGATCGGGGGCGGGGCGGTGGCCTCCCTTTGGCGGTGGGCACCGGGCTCGGTGTGGAGAGGCCTGTTTTCCCTCCGGGCTGACCAGCCTGGCATTCCTGCCTTCCGGGTCTGGGCGCGGCGTGGCCCGGGCGGCGGCCCGGCGGCGCGGCAGGGACTCCACACCGAGGAGGAGCCCCAGGCGCCCGGGGATTCAGAGCCGGCCCAGGTTCAGGAGGGACCGTCTCACTCATCTTGCGGTGTGCGGGCAACGGCCTAGGCTCTGGGAGCGGCCCGGCAGAGCTCTCATGCTTTCACCACCCAAACCCCATCGATGCCCCACCCCACTCCCCAACGCGGCGCGCGCACACACCCACACACCACGCACCCCGACACACCCACACAACCACACCCCCACACACCCAAACACACCACCCCCAACCCCACCCCCACCACGACCGCCAGCAGCACCACCGTGTTCTGCACTGGGCTGCTGGTTAGAACCTCCATGCCCGAAACACCGGGCCGGGCAGCGTCGGGCCTGCTCTCCCTCCGGCTCGCCTCCTCTGTGCCTCCGCTCCACCGTCCACTCCCTTCCGATGCCGCTGCCGCCTTCCCCGCCGTCGGCATGGGCACCTAGCGGCTTCCTTACCCAGATCCCACACAAACCCGGGATGCTGACCGCTCCAGGCGGGAAGGCAGGCAGAGATGGAGAGAGATGAGAGCCAGACCTGGGGATGGAGGCGCAGGAGGGACGTTGGAAGGAGGGAGGGAGGGAGGGAGGGAGGGAGGGGAGGGACGGAGGGGCGGAGAGAGGGAGGAGTGGGGAGCGGGAGAGGAAAAACGGAGCGACGGAGGGACAGGGGCGGGCGAGAGGAGCTGAGGTCAGAGGGACTCCGGCAGGAGGAAAGCGGTCTCCCGACCTCCAGCAGCAACAGGGCCGCCCCACTCCCCACGCCCCCCATGTGCCCGGGAAGAAAAAGCGCGCCCAGCGCGGGCAGAAGGCGGGGCCCACGGCCGCGCGTGGGCGGCGGGCATTCCCGAGGCAGGCCATATCCGCCAAAGTGACCCGGAGCTCGGGTGGCCGTCCGGTTTTCACCCGCATGGTTTGCAGAGCCTCCATCCCCAGGCTGAGCCCTGCAATGCAGCGCGGGCGGGCAGCCGATCCACACAGGAGTCACACTCAGGGCGACCAGAGGCCGCGAATCGGGATTCCACGTTGCTTTGCCGTCTGCCGGGGGGGGGGGGTTCGGGTGCTCACGTCTCTGAAGCCCCTGGAAGCCTGACCGTGCTGACTGTTTTGATTCGAGCTCTGCGGGCCAGAACTTCCAGGAGGCGTGGGCATGACACCGTGCCTTCGCTCTACTCGCCTGTTTCCAGGGCGGGCCACGGTGGAGACTCCCCCTACGTTGCGTTGCGTGATGCAGGCATCCGTGGTCAGGCCGCGGCGCCGGGGATGCAGTCTTTCTCCGGGGTGTCGCTCCGCCCTTCCGCGCGTGGAAGTGAGCGACCCACACACCTGCGTGTGAGCCTGTGATAACCATGGCGACAACCACAGGCACAGCCTCCTTCGCGAGGAGAGAGGCCGGAAAACTCAAGACTCTCACGAGTCCAGTTCCACCTCCTCCGCCCTTCCGGGCTGGCTTCTCCCTGCTGAAGGCGCCAGCGAGGCTAAGAAAGCGGCTTCAGTCCGCCAGAATCCTGGAGAGGCCCAGAGAGCCAGCCCCCTGAAGCCCGCCCCCGCCCCTCCCTCTCCACCCCACTCCCCACCCCCACTCCCCCACCTCCCGGGCTTCTCCGGCCCCACCCCACACCCAGGCCACAGTGACCTGGGCCCTGTGAGTCCCGGCTTCGAGGCGAGGCGGGCTGGCCTAGGCTCCTCCTGCATTCCTGAAGGGGTGGAGCCTGTGAGCCTTTATAAGAACCGCTGGCGGCTGAGCCGACCTCCTGGCTGGACCTGCTGCGCCCTGCTGAGCCGACCCCACAAGGGAGCACGGGGAGCCCTTGGCTCCCTCTCTCTGCCAGTGTCTGTCCGCGGGCCGGCCAGGTCTCCCGCGATGGCTCGACACCTGGGACGGCGCCCTCGAGCGGAGGCCGAGACGGAGACGGCGAAGGAAGACTTCGTTGGACCCCGCGAGCAGAGGAGGCCCTGCGCGGGCCTGCTTTGAGCGGGGCCATGCCGGAGCATCGCCACCAGGAAGCTGGCCAGACCGCCATTTCGAACCCAGAGGTCCAGATTTGGTTTCAGAACGAGAGATCACGCCAGCTGAGGCAGCACGTGGGAATCTCGCTTTAACCAGGAAGCGCGGCCCTGAAAGCAGGCAGCGGACATAATCACCGATCTGAACCGCCCTATCTCTGACCAGCAGATCGGCACTGCAGGCATCGCCACCCGGGAAGAACTGGCCAGAGAGACGGAGCCTCCCGGGTCAGTTCAGATTTGGTTTCAGAACCGGAGGGCCAGGCACCCAGGCCAGGGTGGCGGGGCACCGCGCACGCAGGCGGCCTGTGCGGCGCGGCCCCGGCGGGTCGTCTCCCGCCCCCTGCGCCGTTGGCCTTCGCCCACACCGGGCGTGGGGAGCGGGGCTTCCCGCGCCCCGTGCCCTGCGCGCCCTGGACTCCACCGGGGGCACGCGAGCCAGGGAGCAGGGGCGTCGCCGCCAGCCGGCCAGGCCCAGCAGGCAGCGGATCCCATCCAGCCGGCAGGCGGGGATTGGGAACTCCTCGCTGCCCTGGCGACTCCGGAAGGAGGCGCTCTCCCACCCTCAGACCCCCGAGGAGTGGCCTCCGCGCCCGAGCCAATGGCGGGGGGACCAGGACCCCCAGCACCACAGCCTGCCGGGCCCTTGCTCCGGTGGGACAGCCGGGCCACGCCGGGCCGGCGCCGAGGCCAGGGTGTGCTCGCGCGCCACGTCCCAGGGGTCATTGGTGGGATGGGGCCAGGGAGCCCCAGGTCGCCGGGGCGGCGTGGGAGCCCAAATCGGGGCAGCTCCACCTCCGGGGCCAGCCCCGGGGGAAGGGTGGCCATCCAGCGGGGCAGGAGCCGATCTCGGCTTCGTCCGGGCGCCCTCCCCGCGCTCCAGGAGCCTGGCGCTGCAATCTCCACTCCCCTCCAGCCTGCTGGATGAGCTCCTGGAGACCCCCGAGTTTCTGCAGCAGGCGCAGCCTCTGCTAAACGGAGGCCGACGGAGCTGCAGGGCATTAAGGCCCTTGGCTGAACCTTCTCCTCAGCGAGGAGGAATACCGGGCTCTGCTGGAGGAGGCTTTGAGACGGGGTTAGGGCGGGATCGGGGGGCAGGCGGTAGCCTCCTTTGGTGAGGCACCGAGGCTCGGTGTGGAGAGGCCTGTTTTCCCTCCGGGCTGAGCAGCCTGGCATTCCTGCCTTCGGGTCTGGGCGCGCGCGCGTGGCGCGAGCGGCGGAGACTCACCGAGGAGGCTGAGCATCCCGGGGATTCCAGAGGCAGCCCAGGTTCAGGAGGAGGGCCAATCCTGCGCATCTTGTAGTGTGCGGAGCAACGGCTAAACTCTGGGGCCGGCCCGGCAAACTCTCATGCTTTTCCACCACCTGACCCCCGCCCGATGCCCACACCCCTCCCCAACCGGCGCCACACACACCCACCACGCACCCCCCATTACACACACAACCACACCCCCCACACACCCAAACACACCACCCCACCCCCACCCCACCACGACCGCCAGCAGCACCACCGTGTTCTGCACTGGGCTGCTGGTTGGAGACCTCCATGCCCAGGCTCACCGGGCCCCGGGCAGCTGTCCGGGCAGCCTGCTCTCCTCCCGGCTCGCGCCTCCTCTGTGCCTCAAGCTCCACCGTCCACTCGCCCACCCGTGCCCCTGCCGCCTTCCCCGCCGTCAGCATGAGCACCTGGCGGCTACATACCCCCAGATCCACAAACCAGGATGCTGGCCCATCCCAGGCGGGGAAGGCAGGCGAGATGGAGAGATGAGAGACAGACCTCGGGGGATGGGCTGAGGAGGGACGTTGGAAGGGAGAGGGAGAGAGGAGAGGAGGGGAGGGAAGGAGGGACGGAGGAGACGAGGAGAGGAGGTGGGAACGGAGAGAAAGCCGGAGCGCGGAGGAGGGACGGGGAGGCAGGCGCGGGAGGGAGCGAGGTCAGAGGACTCCGGCGGGGAGAAGCGGTCTCGGCCTCCAGCAGCAACAGGCCGCCCCTCCCCCCACCCGGCAGAAAAAGTGGCATGGCCAGGCAGAGAGAGGCGGGGCCACGGCCGCGCGTGGGCGGCCGGGGGCACTCATTCCCGAGCAGGCCATGTCGCCAAGGCGAAAGACCCAGGCTTCAAGGGTGGCCGTCCGGTTTTCACCGCATGGTTGCCCGACCTCCCCATCTCCCCAGGCTGAGCCCTGCAATGCAGCGCGGCGGGCAGCCGTCCACACAGAGTGCCTCAGGACGACTGAGGCACGAATCGGGATTCACGTTGCTTTGCCGTCTGCCGGGGTGGGGGGTTCAGACTGCTCACGTCTCTGAAGCCCGGAAGCCTGGCCGTGCTGACTGCAATTCCCAGCTCTGCGGAGGACCAGAATCTTCCAGGGGAGGCGTGGGCATGGCTTTGATGCCTTCGCTCTACTCGCGCCTGTTTCAGGGCGGGCCCACGGTGAAACTCCCCCTACGTTGCGTTGCGTGATGCAGGCATCCGTGGTCAGGCGCTGACGCCGGGGATCACAGTCTTTCTCCGAGAGTGTCGCTCCGCCCTTCCAGCGTGGAAGTGACCGCCCGACCCACACCTGCGTGTGTGACCTGTGACTCAACGAGCGACAACCACGGGCACGGCCTCCTTCCGGGAGAGGCCGGAAAACTCAAGACTCTCCGCGGAGGTCAGTTCCACCTCCCTCCGCCCTTCGGGCCTGGCTTCTCCCCTGCTGAAGCGCCCGCGAGCCAGGCTTCAGTCATGAATCCCTGGAGAGGCCCAGAGAGAGCCAGCTGAAACCCGCCCCCGCCCCCCCTCCCCCCACCCCACTCCCCACCCCACTCCCCACCTCCCGGGCTTCTCCGGCCCACCCACACCCAGGCCACAGTGACCTGGGCCCTGTGAGTCGGCTTCGAGGGCCGAGGCGGAGCTGCCTGGGCTCCTCCTGCATTCCTGAAGGTGGAGCCTGTGGT